TATTTGATCCGAGTTAACTTTTACATTTTAAAGGTATGAGAATAATACGATTGGCTATTTTTTGACATAATGATAAATCAAATTCTATCGATGAGAGATTGGATAAAGGTTAATTAGTCATAACAAGAAAAATCTTGGTTTCTGACAAATCATGTGGTTAAGGTTTGCAGGCCGTTACAATATCAAAAAATTAACATTGTAAATAAATTGATCAATTTATTACTAGCCAAATATAGGGTTGTATGCATTTTGATGAATTTATTTTTATTTTAGAATATAATTTTTTTCACAAATATTGTAAAGTTAAAAAACGGGGACCCACGCGCATAATTAGTGACTTACTTTCGGTTAGGGACCTTAAATAAGACGCGCCGAGATCCTTTTTGTAGATCTCGTGGTTTTTCTACGAGCGTGATATTTTGGTAATGTTGGGTCCCAAATGTCAGGTAAACGAATTCACTGTTGTTTGCGGTTTTATGTTCTAGTCGTTTAGCGATGAGATCTTTCGCGAATTTATATCGCATATTGCTGGTCACATCAAGATTTTTCGATTCCAAAATTCGCTTCACCCAAGTAAACGGAAGTTGGGCATAGATGTTTAAAAGTTCTTGATAACCATGATTATGGCAGAAACCACTACCGGACTGCAATTTGCAAACATTCTGTCCTTCGTGGAGATGATTCGTGTTATTGGTGTTAGACTTGAAAGCCTGGAACACCCTTGGAAGTTTTCTGACGAGAAACGCATAACAGGAATCCTCGATTGGCACAGCATATTCTTGATAATGCTCTTTAAAGAATTCGACATAGGAGATGACCGTCTTTTGATTAATATCTTTTTTCATAATCTCCAAGGACCAGGCGCAGATATCTTTCGTTCCTAGGTAATATGCGGCTGCAAAAACATTTCTCGCATTGCTTGGGTTGATCCGATGAAGCGAAGGCTCGATCATATGGGCGAAACATATCCTAATCGCTTCTGGGGTTATATTCGCAACATCCAGGAATAGAGTGATTTCATCTGACGAAGAATTGTTTAGCGCATCGTATATAAATGGTGAGCGTGCGATATTGATCGCGTTTAGGTGATAATGTTGTTTAAATGTGCTATGCTCCACCTTAAGTGATATATCCGAGAAATGTCGATCAACTGTTCCGATTTTTTTCATGAAAATATATAGTTTATTTGGCGGGATTGGGAACAAGGGTTGCACTACTTGTCGTTGATTTATATTTTTAGCTTGATACTGGCGCTCCTGTTGCATTGAGAACATGGCTGATGGGTGAGTACTTGCATTCTTTTTCATACTGGCGTTAGCCGTAAGATTCTTATTTGGTTGATGTTTGGGAACTTTTGAAGAACGATTCTTCTTGAATCGACGATTTTTATCCCTCGTAGATTTCGATTTTTCATTAGCATTCATATTGGATGATTGACGTCGAGTAACGGCAGGATGTTTGGTCGATTGCTGTTGAGGAAGGATGTTCCCAAAGGCGATCGGATCCATGGTACGTTGTTGATTTAGACGAAATGCTGATCTCAAAGAGCCATTACCAACACCAGACTCGCCACTTTTAGATGATT